AGTAAAGGGGCGTTCCCAGCACCCACCCCCCTTCCCTTCAATCCACTGATTGGCTCATTTGAGGTAGGTTGGCAGTCTGGTCCTTTGTGTAGTTCCCACGCTGGCTGTGTTGTCCTCCCCTCGGAGGTTGGGGTCGCTGTGTCGTTCCCAGGTTGGCTAGCCTCAGTCTCTGGGTACATCCTATTTTGCACTGCTAGGAAACATGAAACCACAGCCTGCCTGAGATCCTGGATCCAGTCACGGGGGTAATTTGGCTTTACAGGAGCCAGAGGTCAGAGAGAGAGGTCAGAGAGCTCTATAGTGCTGATCCACCTATATACCTTTTGGGGGCATGCCAGCCCACTAATTACAGATAGAGACATATGTCACAGGAAAGGGTTGCACTATAGGTTACACAGTAATGAGGAGGTGGTCCAGGGACACACAAGCAACAGGAAGAGGAGAGACTGGGGTATACATGTGACAAGGTGGGTGGATCCCAGATTCAGGAGCTCAACCTTGACCTGTTTCCTGGGTCTCCATAGGAACCATTATCAGTAGGATATAAACTCTGCCTACAGGAGCCTGTCCATTGTCCCCAGAGGCAGGGAGCAGGGCCCACTGCAGTCTGCCAACTGATTGCCCTCAGGGGGGGAATGCCTGTGCATCTGACCTCCCCCCACAGAATGGGATCTTCTCCTCCATGCCATCTCTTAGTCAGAGTCAGAAAAAACAAAATAACAAATTAGTTCGAATTTTGACCTGCATTTTTATTCTTGTTTACCAATTAACAGAACACAACTGCAGCAAACTGGATTGTATTTTCCTTGGAATCATATTTTCTACCATCCAAATTTCAGAATATTGGGGTTTTTAGTGCACCTTGAGTATGACTGACCAAATCTAACTCCAAGCATCATTTATGACTATTGTATGTAGGTTCACAGGGAATCAGAACTGACTACAGGACCCCTAACAATTATATAGCATCATCAAAACAAGATCTGCTGTTTGTGACTAATATTGCAGTCACTGTATCAATGCATATCCTTGAGGACTTTACAGAAGGAAATGTCTTCTCCATGGGCATTTCAGTCAGCACAGTACATCTTCAGATGATCAGACTGCAGTCTGATCACACTGCCACTTATGACTATGCAAGAAACAGTGAAAACTCACATCCTGAAAATGCCAGAAACCCAGGACAGAGCGAATGACTGACAATTTGTTTGCTGTTCTCTACCCCACCCCATTTTTTTTTCACTTAGTGGTTAAAGCTTTGTGAAAAAAAGCTTTCATTTCCTGTGAAATAGCTTTGGGGCTGTTAAACCAGCTCCATAAAAATGGGAGGAAGCATTCTCTTTGACTCAAATCAGACAATTAGGTCATAAACACAGTCACCTAGTCAATTCTAAATCAGGGGCATTGTAGGGTCTGGATTGTACATTTTTTGGAGGCAGACCCTTTCATCATTCTTCCTAGAAGCTGGATTTCAGGCAGTCGATGCCCTACCCACTGTGCATCCAGGGTTTCTATATGCTCATAGCAATTAAACAAATCTAGTACTGTTTTAGATTCCATGGGGGTGATTCTGATTCACTGTGTTTCATTATGCAGAGTAGAACTGCATTTCTATTTTAAAGGCTGAGACCTTTGGGAACTAATCCACTAAGCCTGACTTCCAAGGCATTCTAGGTGAGTATGAATCACCATTACAGAAGTGCTGTAAGAACGTCTCCCAAGTTTGACTCATGTGCCCCCATTTTAGAATGTTTAAAATGCTGTCCAGGCCTCTTTCATCACTAAACTATGTAACCGCTTTCTCCTCCACACCCTGTGTTGCCCCTTCACAGTTTTATCATTACCCAAATGTCAATATCCTGCTGTTCTCAGAATGTGCCCTTTGTCCCATGCCTCACAAAGTTAAAAAGATTAATGCTGATCTTAGCTTCTGTAAACTGCTTTCTGAAAGGAATGTAGAACCCCAACCCTTCCCTGCTTACCCACTGAAAGAAAATGCAATATTCTCAACCCCTCCTGATTGCCAAGCCAGCTTTGGTTTGTGTCCTTATAAACCTACCTGAGTATCATTTTGGGCCTTGAGTAATTTCAGAGACTTGAATTCTTCCAAAGACCACCAGATGAGCCCACAGATTGGGAAAATTTTTTTAACACATCAAGACAAAGGGCTAATTATAAATATATACAGAACTCTACAACATCTCAGTAAGAAAATAACAAGATGCAATAAAAAAATGGGATGGACATATGAATAGACAGTTCACCAAAAATGAAGTACAAATGATTAACAAACATATATTAAAAATGCTCAGGATCACTAGCCTTCAGGAAGATGCGATTCAAACCACGAGATCGCACTTAACCCCTACAATGCCAGCCCAAACCAAAGAAGCAAAACAACAAATCTGGAGAGGATCTGGAGGGATTGGGATTATATGTACTGCTGGTGGACTTATAAATACATGCAGCCACTGTGGAAAACAAGGTGGCACAACTTAAAACAACCAGAACTTGAAAACCCATATGATCCAGTAATATCACGATTAGGCATCATGGAATTCATAGAGAAATATATTTTTAAAAACAACAAAGTAAAACAGAGATAAAACTAATAGAAAAGAAGAGGAATATAAAAACTACAATAGATTTAAAATGGGTCAAAAAGGATCTCAAAGGATAAAGGGTTATATTTTAACTTAACTGCATCTGCAATAATCCACCTTCCAAAGAATTCTGCATGAGAGCAAGGCCATTCACATTCCTGTTCTATGGTGACAGTGTTTCTCCAGTTAACATATGTGAAATCAGTTATTGGTCTTGCTATCAATGTACATATGCACACAGGATGAGTCTATCAGGCTTTCCCAGTCTCTATAGTCATGATTCCCTGAAGGATTTACACTGCAGTCATACAATGCAGCAGACATTTTATTCGGTCCTTCAGTCCAATTACTGCATCAGTTTATCCTATGGGCTTTGTGGAACATCAAAGAAAATGTAATTGGATATTGGAGGCACTGCCAGCCACTAAATGCATATGCACTGCAACATTCCCTGTATTCATATGGTTTCTCTGCGGTACAAATCTTCTATTGTCACATGACCCCTTTCCAGACAAATGCCAATCAGAACTACATTGGCTAAAATCCTAAGGTAGTTTATTGACACATTGAGAGAAACCAAAGAGGGTATCTGCAAAGTCACTACATTGCCACAGCTTTCCTTCTGCATGAGATCACTGGTATGTGATGTCACATGACTTCCTGTGGAGCGTTTCCCATCTTGACTGAATTTAAGGCTTTTCAATTCTGTGTGTTTGTCAAAACAACTTAGAAACACAGGTAAAAGTTTGTTACCCACACTCATTACAGCTACACAGTAACTATCCTACATGAAATAATTGAGGAGACATGAGCTCTTCATTTTTTAAAAAAAATTTTTATGATTTAAACTTTACAGAGTAAATTGGTTTTCAACAATTCATACATTGTTGAAGTCCCCAAGATATACCAGCCTTCTTCTCACTTCTGCCCTCCCTGAGTTTTTATATTATTCATCCTTCTTTCCTGTTCCTTCTTGCTTTTAAGAGTTTTGATCCATAAGCAAATGCTGTCCTTTTGACTTTGTACAGTTGATTGTTCTAGGGAATATGTTATTCTTGGATGTTACTCTTCCCCTCCAAGCCAGTATATTGTTGGGATGGTCCAAGAGTAAAGAGTCGCTAAAGGCCATAATCTGTGGATTCCAAGTCTCCATCAGACCAGTAAGCCTGATCTATTTTATGATTTGGGGTTTTGTTCCACTTTCTTCTCCCACTCGACTCAGGACCCTTTTCTGATCCATCTAGTTCTTCTGGTCTCAGGGTTGTGGAGGCTGAGGTTTGCTGTGGTCAATTCATCATCCTCTGGATGAATTGTTCCCATACATCTATTTTCTTTACTCTTATTTTTGTGGCACTTCTGTGCTGTCTCTGGGGGGTAACAGAGAGCATACAGGTGGTGCAGGCACAACTGGCATCTGGGTGGGCACTCTACTGCTTGGTACATCTGTGATCCAGAAACACCAGGTTCAACTCTTTTAGGCACTGAAAGCTGGAAGAGCAATGAGGTACTCACTCGCGCACCCTGTCAAAGTCTTGAGGGCCCTCTCCCCACAACGGTGGGCCATGTCAGTAGAGGGACAGCAATGCAGAACATGGGTCTCCATATGATAAGTCACAATTGTCTGTTCCCACACTTGGTCCAGGCCAAACTGTAGCACCTCACCTCTTTGTTTTGAAAGCTTTGTTACACTAACTCCAATGAAAGGTTTTCTTGTTGAGAATTTTCTCATGTTTAACGTGACCTGACTTCCACATATAAGATGTTCCACATTTAGTTCATGCAAAGGGATTCTTTCCTTTGTGAAATCTCTGATGTGCTGAAAGGCATCACTTCTAGCTGAAAGCTTTACCACATTCACCACATGAAAGGTTTTTCTCTGGTATGAATTCATAGATGAGTTTTAAAATGTGCTTTCTGAATGAAGCCTTTGCCACATTCACTACATACATGGGGTTTCGCTCTCTCCAGGATAAGTTCGCTGATGAACAACGAGCTTATTCTTCCTGATAAAGGCTTTTCCACATTCACCACATACATGGGGTTTAGATCTTGCGTGAATTCATAGACGAGTTTTGAGATTGCCTTTCTGAATGAAGCTTTTGCCATATTCAGTATGTACATGAGGTTTCTCTCCAGTATGAATTCCCTGATGAACAGAGGTCCTTCTTCCTGATAAAACCTTTTCCACATTCATTGCATACCTAGGGTTTCTGTCTAGTATGAGTTCGCTGATGAACAGTGAGAGAATTTTTCCTGATAAAGGCTTTTCCACATTTATCACACACATGGGGTTTCTCCCCTGTATGAATTCGTACATGACTTTTGAGATGTACTTTCTGAATGAAGCCTTTTCCACATTCACCACATACATAGGGTTTCTCTCCAGTATGAGTTCGCTGATGAATAGTGAGATCCTTCTTCCTGATAAAGGCTTTGCCACAATCACCACATACATGGGGTTTCTCTCCAGTATGAGTTCGCTGATGATAAGTGAAAGCAGTCTTCCCAATGAAGGCTTTTCCACAGTCACCACATACATGGGGTTTTTCTCCTGTATGAGTTCGTAGATGAGTTTTGAGATGTGTTTTCTGAATGAAGGCTTTGCCACATTCACCACATACATGGGGTTTCTCTCCAGTATGAGTTCGCTGATGATAAGTGAAAGCAGTCTTCCCAATAAAGGCTTTTCCACATTGATCACATACATAGGGTTTCTCTCCAGTATGAATTCACTGATGAACAATGAGGTCCGTCTTCCCGATAAAGGCTTTGCCACATTCATTACATACATGGGGTTTCTCTCCAGTATGAGTTCGCTGATGATAAGTGAGAGCAGTCTTCCCAAAGAAGGCTTTTCCACATTCACCACATACATGGGGTTTTTCCTCTGTATGAGTTCGTAGATGAGTTTTGAGATGTATTTTCTGAATGAAGCCTTTGCCACATTCACCACATACATGAGGTCTCTCTCCAGTATGAGTTCGCTGATGAGCAGTGAGATCACTCGTCATGGTGAAGCCTTTCCCACTTTTGTTGCATACATATGCCATCCCTGCCACTTGAGTTTCCTGATATCCCTTGAGGCATGATTTACTGTGGTAAGTTTTGTTACATTCCAAGCATTTATGAAGCTTTTGTCCTTCGTGACCTTTTTGATAATCTTCATTGAGTTTGAACACTTTATTGAATTTTTGGCCACAATGACTGCATTCATAGGTCTTATCTAGTGTATGAATGATCTGTTGTTCATATTGCAAAGACTCCTCAATTAAGGTTGTTGCACATTTATCACCTGTGTGCTGTTTCTCAATTTCATTAGATTCCTCATGCTGAATGCATTGTGACTTCATGAGCCTGGATTGTTCACACTCAGGTAATTTCTTTTCAGTACAAAATTGCTCTTGTTGAATGTGGAGGGAAGTTTCTTCATCTTCCTTGAGCACAACTGACTTCTGTGTTTTGTGGCTACTGTTCTGATTTAATTTCAGAATGGTTAAATCTGGTTTTACAATTTTTTCATGTAATACAAACATCTCATAATTTTCCTTTGGAGGAAAATTATTTTTGTGCTGATAAACAATACTTTCCAATGTATTAAATTTATAGCATTGTTCCATTCTGTCCATGCATCTTTCATATTGCAAGTGCTCAAGCAAATGATCATCATCTTTCTGGATTTCTATAAAAGAACAGAACATTTTTTTCCAACATCTTGATTTACAATGAACCCCTTAAAATATGCATTGATACTAAGCAGATCTTTAGTGGCAACCCTCTTATATGAATATAAATAAAACACTATGCTTAATGTTTATTGCCCATTGGAAGAAATACAATCATGTAAACAATCCAAATGGTAAAAATAGTTATTGTAGAAATCAGGTTGGATATGAAAGTGATGAATGAACACAGATTTGGCATTTGTTTACAGAGGTACATGAAAATATACAACAAATGTAGTAGAAGGAAGACATTGAGACCAATAGACTGCAGGGGTGCTAAGGCTTGCTAACGCCAGTTGGTAAAGGTTAGATGTATTCATTTCATCAATCGTTACTGAAAGCCAACTAAGTACTAGATAAATTTGGGAATGTGAAAAATGCAGAATGTTCTACATGGGAGAAAACCATTCTTACAGGTATATATGAAAGGTATTATGATACAGAAAAATAGTCTTTATGTTTCTGGAGCCTGTATTCTAGCTTACACCACCCATCTTTCAGTGTTGTCCTGTGATGGCTTGCATGTTGCTGTGATGCCAGAAGCAATGCCACCCAGTGTTTCAAATACAAGCACAGGATCCCCCACAGTTCACAGGTCTTAGTGGAATCTCCAGAAATAGGGACTGGGAGGAAGACCTGGTGATCTACTTGTGGAACAGGAACCCCTCAGGTTTAATGGAAACGAAATAACACTGAAGAAGTACTAAATCCTCAAAGTACAGTCAACAGTAATGATGTGGTTGGAGGAGATCTTTGGGGACCTTCAGTGGTTGACATGGCATGACTGAAAACGAGGAAAAATAGCTGCAAACATCCTCTAATAATTGGAAGATGGAATACATGAAATATTATCAAGAAAAAAATTGAAAGTTGTCAAAACAAAATAGAATGTTTAAAAATTGATAGTGTATGAATTATTCAACTAAGCAGACTGGTACTGGCTATTTTTAATTAGATAATCAAGTGGTTTATAAGGCTGAGTTTGACAAATTGAAGAAGACTGGTATCATATTCATCATCGAAAAGTACATGGCAAGATCTTCCGTGAAGTATAATCCTGTAAGTGGAAGGTTAATATTCATATGCCTGCAAGTAAGACCAGTTACTACAAGTGATATTTAGGTCTGTGCACCAACTGTTTAAGCAAACATAAACCATAGGATCCAGCCCCACAGTCGAACGGGCCCTTAGGAATAGTGTGTGCAATTAAGGAAGATAAAGCAGACAGCAAAAGGGGGTAGAGTGGTTTCATCTGCAATACTGGAATACGATTAACAGTGAGTTTATATAGTAGCGAGGAATGCAAGCCTCCAGAAGACACAGACACAAATAGAATGGACAAGTGTGAATTTGGGAATTTCCTGAACTCTTTTAGAACAGTTCATGATAAGTATTAGGCTGTGGGAAACTGAGGACCTAGAAGAGTGGATGCAGACAAATTATTTATTCTCAGAATTAAAGAAGACTGCAAGGCCAGTTATTTGGGTGAAGGGTGGCATTCACATTTCTAAGTTGGAGAAGAGTCCCAGTCACATTCTCCTAATTAAAAATCATCCACATAATATCCTCTCATTATAGTGCTACCTTAATGATACCTCATACAAGCACATGGCTAATTACTACCTGCCAGTAGCTTTAACTATAAGAGCAGACATGTTGTTATTGTTCGCCCAGCTCAGGAGACAGTTACTCCACTCCACCTGCCCTCAGCACTGGTTTTAAGTTGTTCACCCAATTAGTTCAGGGATCCCCAGGGTAAAGATCCTGCCTACCTTGTTAGGTAGGTGTCTGTCTGTGCATGTGGAGGTAGGGGAAGTGGGGGGGTTGGGGGGGGTGGGGAACTGCATGCCTTGAGACTATATAAATTGGGGAAAGAATACAAAGCCTTGTTTTTTCTGCCCTTCAATTATACAACTGTCCCTTAGGACTCATCAGAGGGCATTTAAGATACAAAGTAATAGTTGATTCCTTGAGTGATAGAAACAAAGGGAACCTGATTGCTTTTAAAACTAGGCATCTTTCAGCTGAGTATCAAGAAATCAGGCACCCGTAGGAGCTGTATAGTAACATCTTACTGGAGGGCAGTTGTGGAGAAAACTCCATCTGGAGATTGTGCATTATTAGCTCTAGCTTTATCCTTGGGGCTTGTGGAGAATTTCTTCTAACACTAGTACTGGTCTTCCAAGCCCTGTGGTCAAGAGTATAGAGATAAGACTGCTTACACTTTGATTCAGGTTGTTTCCACAATAAAGAAATTGAGGGTGGGGCAGGGAGGGGATAAAGGGGAACTGATATCAAGGAATTCAAAAAGAAAATGGTAGCAATTGTACAGTACTGCTCCATGTGATTGAACTATGAAATGTTATGATATCTGCAAGAGCTCCCAATAAAATGATTAAAAATATATATATTGAAAATTTCACATGACTTTTGCAGCCTGACATTAATCAACCATAAAATCATGTACACTGATGAATGTAAAATTTGGGGAAATTATCAGTAATTGGAAAATGTGACCTTAGTGACAGAAATGACACACAACTTTACTAATAAAATTTTGAGACTAATGATGAATTCATAGCAAATTCCTTATTAAACACCAGAAATGGAAACTATACATATGGATCTTTCTGAATGGAACAAAGAAAACTGAAATCAACCACATCTATAGAAAGAATTGGTGGAGAAGCTCATTAGTCAAAACATGCCCAGGGGTTAACTGTGGAACAGATCATCAATTGCTCAAATCCAAGTAGAAGCTAGTCAAAGTACCTAGATCACAGAGCTGAGAGACTATGTAAACAATAAACTTGAGGAATAAAAGACTGATGACTAAAGACTAATGACTGAGATCAGATGAGTTGTGGGATGACACAAAACATCATATGTATGGAAACCAAAAGGCTACTCAAAAGACAGAAAAGAGAGAAATATTGAATATACTATGCATTGTTTGAATAACAGCAAAAACATCTGTTGGAAAAGCCTGCAAAAATGTTCTTTAGAAGCAGCAAAGGTCATATTTCGAGTTTTGGACCTTTTGAGGGGTGGGCCTCAGAAGGCACACTGCATAGTAAGGAATATAGAGCAGACATGTGCTTAATGAAAAAAACAAGAATGCAGGATGTTAAAAATGCCCTTTCCACTTCCAAAATTATTGGAGGAACAGACAACTTAAAAAAAAATCTTACAGGTAGAAAAATATTGAAGGTACAGTGCTAAATTATACCCTAAGCTGATAATTTTCTTGCTAGGAAGATGATTTTAGATACCTGAAAATAACAGAATCATAAATGTGTTTCACCAAAAGGAGTAAAATATGGAGAAACATGTCTGTTATGAGTCGCTCTGGTGCTGTGCTGTCAAAGCCAATCCCAATTTTATTCACACATTGTAATTTCTGTACACCCACCTAGATAAGAGAAGTTGGACAAAAAAAAAAATGAGAAGAAAATAAAGGGACCGATGGCCCCGGAGGGACATGGGAAGTAGGGGTGTAGGAGGTAGGGGAAGGGAGGAGGGTTGGACAACCTAGGGACAGGGAACAACAAATGGTTCAAAACCAATGGTAGGGAGGGGACGGGAGGACTGGTAGGGAGTGACCAAGGTCAAGACAACC